CTCGTATACTAAATGAGGCAAGGGTGTAGAGTTACATTCAAGCTATTTTAAAGTCCCCGTGAACCGGAAGTTGCAAACGACTTTTCTCCAGTGTTGTGACGTATTTCCGAGAGAAACGGAATACTAAATGAGGCAAAATGGTGGGCATGGCTTTTTTCCCAACTAGCACCTGATTGGATCTAGAAAAGTAGGTGTTTTCATTCAGCCTGTCTACTGTCAGTTGGAGGGGTGTGGTTACGGATGTTAAGCAGACGCCCAAACCGTCAAACCTACGTCATCAGGCAAGGTCCTCCAATGCAGAGGGGAGGGGAAATTTCAGATTTTGATTAAAGATTACGAAGCCAAAAAAATTTTTTGTGTGGATTGACTTGCATGGATGAATTGTTCACCACAAAACGATCAATTTAGGCAAACAAAGTAAGTATGGTCAATTTTGAATTCATGGGGACTTTAAGGCATGAAGAAAAAAATTCATTTTGCTGATCAAAGATGATTTTAAGGGATAAAATGATTGACTACAGTCAGCCTGACAAAACATGAACTTTATTTCAACTGTAAATGTTTAGTTTATGCATGGGGTTTTGTGTATGTTTAGAGGTGCAGTGCACTAATGTTTAGTTGTGTCTAAGTTGTAACGTGGCGATTCATGCAACATCTAGTACAGGGATGGGCAACTTCAGTCCTGGAGGGCCATTTTCCTTCAGAGTTTAGCTTATAATCAAACACACCTGAACAAGGTGATGTTTTCAGGGTTGGAGCAGGGTTGGACAGTGGCCCTCCAGGACTGAAGTTGCCCATCCCTGATCTAGTATATGTTGTAATAGTGGTGCAAGTGGACCTTGGGCTGGCAACTAAAAGGTTGAAATAGCAAATTAACCTTTTTAAAGATTTTTTTTTTTAAGATTTGATGTATCTTTAGTGAATGTTGTAGATCAGTATTTCTCGATCATGGTCCTGGAGGCCTATGTATTTCTTTCTCACTCCTCATAGTGGGTTTCTCTCTCTCTCTCTCTCTCTCTCTCTCTCTCTCTCTCTCTCTCTCTCTCTCCTTTAATTCTCATTCATGTCTTCATTGTGTTGTCTATCTGAAATTTGTCCTTCACAGTTGCACAGTCCTCTCCCCTATTCTTGTATTCTCCGTATCACTATCTCTCTCCATGACTAAGCACATCACTGTGCTCGTGACATTTTACAAATGAGCTTCGAGACTCTCCAGGAAACTAGAGCGTGTCTCTTCTCTCTTTCTTTCACTCCTACACTGTTAAACAGGCTTGTAATTTCAGTAAAAAAAAAGAAAGAATGTCTAATACTACTTTTTAAACCAGTTAACTGTGAGTTACCTTGCCGTATATTATATAAAAAAAAAGTTATATTAGGTTTATGAGGACAGTAAATTCAACTTAAAAATGTAATAAAAAAAAAAAGATTTATAATTTCGCGTCAAAATCTATATTATAGTCATAAGACAATGCATGCAGTTTTAAAAAGTGGAGAAACTGCAATAACTTTTCCCATCATATTTAAGGAGTGTATTTTATTTAAATAGTTATTTTTCTTATATTCATTATCAATTATATATGTTGGTGTGAGTTACATTTTGTATTTTCACATCTGTTTTATTATGCTGGTTATCAGTGTATTTTAAGCAGATTTTAGGAGGCTAATGTGTCATTTATTTCATTACGATCTCAACACTTGCCATTCGCCAGTAAATGAACAGGACAAATCACATGGAGTGCATCAATGGACTGTTACCAATGCAAACAAATGTCTGAGTTATGCACACACAATGTCAACCAATTAATTCAGCAGATAATTTGATTCTTTGGTTGATTTTAAATACATTTTATGGGTGCTTGGCCTCTGCATGATGAACAGCACTGTATTTACTTTCATCTATTACACTTTGTCCATGTCAAGATACAAACAGGTTCTTTCTTTTTATATTTTGCTGTTCTTTATGTCTTCCTGTGTTTATTTTCTCTCTCTCTCTCTCTCTCTCTCTCTCTCTCTCTCTCTCTCTCTCTCTCTCTCTCTCTCTCTCTCTCTCTCTCTCTCTCTCTCTCTCTCTCTCTCTCTCTCTCTCTCTCTCTGAAACCAGGCTTATTAGTGGGATCATTCCTGGTGGTTTTGTCTTGAGCCATTAAGCAACATCACAGACCACCACAGAACACCACACCATGGCAACGCATTTTAAACCACTCAGCAACACTGATTCCAAACATCTCACCGGATTTCACACATTCTCTCTTTCACACACACACACACACGCTCTTCAGTGTAATCCAGCATGTCTCTGTAATCCTGATCAGATGGCCATCATTCTAAAGCTGATCTCTCTACAATCCTGTGCACATTAGTTTAAGTGCAGAGACAGCAGTGTCAAAAGGTGACATGATATATATATATATATATATATATATATATATATATATATATATATATATATACATTGAAGAGCATATGGAAATCAGCATAAAGTCTGTTTCATGCTGATCCTGTCCATGACGTGCAAAGTGACCAGGCACAGATCGTCTTAAATCAGTGATACCAAAATAGACTTATGCTGAATAAACTGCTTTTACTTTGAGAAAAAAGCGTTGATTATTTGATTTGCAGGTGTGAGGGTCCTAATATGATTGGCTAGCATAAAGTCTGTTTCATGCTGATCCTGTCCATGACGTGCAAAGTGACCAGGCACAAATCGCATGTTCTGTGTTGTCTTAAATCAGTGATACCAAAATAGACATGATCCAGTAACTCTGGATTTTTCCTAATTTCATTACTTAGGGCAGTTGTTACACATAATGTACCTTTTTGTGAATTGTGTATCATTTGTTTGACTGTTAAAATTTTTCTCAGAAGACACAGTTACAGATATGTTGTGGAATATTAGGGAAGCCCTAAGTATTATCGTAATAGTACTTTTTTTCGTATATTTCGTAAATAGTATTACATTCGGTAACGCTTTAGATTACAGCCCGGAAAGTACTGCGTAATTAAAACGATTTTACAGTGTAACTTTTGGTAATTATACTGTACCTAAAGTACTAACATGTAAGTCTAAGTAAGTATACATTATACAGTAATCGTTTTAACAAAAGTGCACTGAAAACTAAAACTATTGCTTAAATATATGGGGAAAGATACTCTTGTTTCATGTAGTTACAGGGTAAGTACAATAAAAATGCATACATATTATATCTTAGGCCTATATCTTATATCAATGACTCGGAAATCTTTATTTGAAAAACAACTTACTCCAAAACAGATTTATAACACTCCCCTTTATTTATTTAATCAACAATGATTTCAAATGCTTAAGTCTTGACAAAAAGTAGCACACTTTGCCCCCACTCCCCTTTTTTTTCTCTTGCTTGGCTTCTTCCTTTTGTTCCTCTTCTTCTTTTTCTTTCTTTCCACTGATGAATCTGAAGAAGAAATTATGTCTCTTGTTATTCTGTATTATGTATTAAAAGAAAATGGTGAACACTCAGAAATACGTCCTCACCATTTACTCATCTTTCACCCTCGTGCCATCCAAGATGTATATGACTTTCCTTCTTTCAGATGAACTCAAATGAAGGTTTTTAGAAAAATAAAAAAATATATCTCTGGGAATGCATATAATGCAAGCTCATGTGTTTCGAAAAGTTGGAGCATCAAACAGCACACACTGCAATAACTGTAGTAATCCATACGACCCCGATGAATGGATCAATGTCTTCAGAAGTGAAAGAATATTTTCAACTTTTTAAACTGCAGATTATCGCTTCAGACCAACTGTAATAAGTTGTTTTTCAAATCAGTGAAATTAGATATTAGATTGTGTGTATGTATTTTTATTGTACTTACCCTGTAACTACATGAAACATGAGGGTAACAAGCACCACTTTAATTTATGGCCCGCAATGTCACACTTGTCACACCGCAATGTCACACATGAAACAAGAGTATATTTCCCAGTATTTAAAAAAAATTTATAATAATAGTTTTAGCTTTACTTGCCTTGAAACATATAAGCCCAAACTTAAACATCTGCACTTTTGCTATCAAAAAAATATATAAAATAAAATAAAAAACTGTGTAAATGCATATACCCTGTAATTTTTAAAAAGCCTATACAGTATGTATTGGTACACCATTATTACAAAAAGGCACGCAGTGTATGTTCTTGCTAAATTGCTCCCAAGATTGTTTTATCATAATAGTAGAATAAGTTCCCCTTAGTTCTATAATACTTCCAGTATACATCATCAATCCTGGTTGTTACCTCTTTATTCCCCAAACTTTACATATTGTTCCCTTATACTTACATGTAAGTACTTTATGGGTACATTATAATTAATTAAAAGTTACTCTGTAAATTCGTCTTAATTGCGCAGTACTTTCCGGGCTGTAATCTAAAGCATTGACTTACATTCTTCTCTTGCTTGTTTGCATTGTCATCCACCTCATATAGTGTCATGTGACAACATGCCCCAGCCATAGGGTCAACATATAAGTGAACTTTGTCCTTTGGACAATAATGTAACTGTTAATAATAACTGTTCAATAGATTTTTTTTTTTATGTAACAGAAAGTTCCGTTCCTGCAATCTGATTGGTCGAGCAGCATTGGAAGAGTGCTGATATGACAGACCAAAAGCACTGCGGCTTTTCACTGTGTGTATCACTCCAGTTGTCTGTGTTCGTTCCAGACAGACTATCAGTCTTTATGTTAGTGACTCTTTCTGCAAGGTGAATTGATACGCCAGTAGATGACAAGCGACAAATGGCTGTGTTTATGAGTGAGTCTGCAGGTACTCATGACCTGTCGTATTACTTAACTGTAACCACAACATTAAGGTTTGTGTCTGTACAGAAATTCACTTTCAAAATGCTGTGTATGGGTATTAATCCATTGGTAGAATTGCCCGGTATGCTGCAGAATGTGTAAATATGTAATTTGAATTATTTAGACATTTTATCCATTCACTTTTGATTGTTTTTGTTTTTCAGATGAATCGGCCAATTCAAGTGAAGCCTGCGGACAGTGAGGGGAAAGGAGGTAAATCATCTGTTATTCACATGTTTATTTGGCTTATTTGAAGTCTGTTGTCAGTAATACTTTTTATTTTATTTTATTTTATTTTAAAAAGGCTCTTCTACTCACCAAGACTGAATTTCTTTGAGTGAAAATACACGATAAACTGTAATATTTGGAATATTATTACAGTTTAAAATAACTTTGTTCTATTGTAATACATTTTTTAGGATGTAATTTATTCCTGTGATCAAAGCTGCATTTTTAGCATCATTACTCTAGTCTAATTTGCTAATATTTGCTAATATTTTTATTATTATCAATGTAAAAAAAAAAAAACTGGTGTGTGTGTGTGTGCGTGCATGCGTGCGTAATACCACTTGGTCAATATAAAATATATTTTATTAACAAGCAACAGGGCATTTGACTTTGCATACTGGTACTAAAGGACAAAAATGAAGCTAAACACCTAAAACACTGCTCTTAAAATATAGTTAAAAAAGATAAATGGAATTTATTGGCAAAGGCACTTTAACACAAAGATTGTCTTCCTTCCAAAACACACAGTAAATTAACATTAAAAAGGCTCACAGGTAAAAGGGGAATCAATATATTTGTGATTTGAAAGTCTCCCTTTTTCTCACTAAAGAAAAAATATATAATTATGGCAGAACAATTAACTAGATCACCAAAACCGGTGTAAGACTGTATAGACATGGGCTTGATCATGTAGACTCATGGCCATTTACTGTAGATGTAAATGTGGTCCCTCTCCTCATATAAATTACATTTCACAACAATCAAATTTGTAATAGTTCTTAAAGGCCCCACTAACCATTAATCAATATTCACAATCTCTTTACTTTTTCAATGAGTTGCAGTTCATTTTGCTGGAGAAATGCTGTGAAAGGTCAACGTGAGCTTGGTGTTGTAGTAATGCTGTTGCTTTGCTTGAGCAGATGCAGCGGCGGCCTTAAGCATCTGGGGGCCCGTTTCAATAGCTAATATGGGGCCCTGCCCACATAAAACATAAACATAATAGAGCAGAAAAAGCAAGGATTCCTGTTGGTTTGCATCCATGGTATATCATTTTATTACGTGCACTTTCAGCTTCATGAACAGGCAGCTCATCATAAAAATAATCCAACCTTATTTGATTAAAACTATACACAATTATACAGCGTTTTACATTGGAATAAGCCTCGCCCTTTCACGCAGGGCAACTTCATAAGGTACAGCAGAAACCGAAGAATGAATCGGATGATTTTGAGTACAATAACCATGACCTGCGTATCTTTTCTCCATTTTTCATCTTCATGAAATATCTGTCCTTGGTAAAACGGCGGTGTGATTGGCTTTGTGGGAAGTTAAACTCCTCTATCTGAACGGGACCGCTCCTAACAATATCAATTCGTTGGTCATCGGCAATATGCTCTGGCCAGCACCCCGGGTCTGTCTCTGTAAACGGGGCTTTCTCCCTGGCATCTCCCTCACCTGTCTCAGCGGTATAACTTCATCGTCATGTTCTTGTTCTACTAACAATGTTTGGTCATCATTATTGCCAAAAAAACAAACAAAAAAACAACGAAATACAAAGCAGCCCAACACAGTCATCAACAAAGTGGTGTATGTTACCACACAAGATCCTTTCTGTGACGTAAGTATAGATCTATTGAAGGTAAACATAATAAACATCCCAACAACAACATATTAATATTAGTGGTGATAGTATCAAGGATAACATTCACAATGATAATATTCATGACAATACTAGTAGCTCTAGCAATCTGCAATCTGTTACTACAATACTGCCCTACAAAGCAAAAAGGCAGTAACTACGCAGAGTGCAGAACTGAGAAAAATGACTTTAAAGTTATCCTGTCATCCTGTTATCCTGTTGTTACTGATTGATATGTACAAAGAATAAGCTAATATAAAGTAACAAAACAGCCACATGTCCAAAAATCTATGACAGGATAACTTTAAAGTCATTTTTCTCAGTTCTGCACTCTGCGTAGTTACTGCCTTTTTGCTTTGTAGGGCAGAATAGTACCTGAGCTGCCAACTCTCACGCATTGGCCGTGAGACACCCGCATTTGATTGGTTTCACACGCTCACACGCTACACTCCGATTTCCCACGCTGAAGTGTCAACCCGGCCGGTCAAATGCCTGGAAGATGAGTTTATCTACAGATTTACCTGTTGAGCCACTCGTGATCGACTAGTTATACCGCAAATTCGTTAAAAATCTCCAGCAATCTAGAGCGAGCGTGCATGCGAGACAGAGAACCGCGTAGAGCGAGCGAGAGACCTTGCGTGGGCAGAGAGCATTCATCCCATATAGTTTGTCAAGGTAATAACATTAAATCTGATAGTAACTTTGAACTATTTAAACAAAGAACGATTAATCAATATTCACAATCACTTTACTTTTTCAAGGTTTGCAGTTCATTTTGCTGGAGAAATGCTGTGAAAGGTCAAGGTGAGATTGGTGATGTAGTAATGCTGGTGCTTTGCTTGAGCAGGCGCTGTGAAACAGACCTAGATGTCATGTATCTTTACAGGCCTCGTTCTGCCAGATTAAAAAGGCTTGGTGTTGGAAGGTTTATTGTCTGTGGTGTCGCTCTCCTGAACAGGATGAGTGACCATTGACTGACTGTCATTTTTGGGTGATGTTGTGTTATCCAACAACAGACAGTCGTTTTCGTCACTCTCCGGCACACGATAAGTGGCTGTAGCTGATATGGAGCGATAATACCACACAAGTATTACAATGACTACAATAAGGATGCATGAGATGATGCCAAGAACTATTGTGAGCGTCTTATAAATAATGAGTTCTTCATTGCAGTTGGAGTTTGTTTGGTCTCCTGGGCTGGAGCGGTTCTCTGTGTGAATCAAAGAGCAGATTGCTTTTTTAGAGTGAAAATCAGGCGCAAAATTCACAAGATTTTAGAAGTAAAATATGTAATGTCTGACCATATGATGCAAGTTTAAAAGCCTTTCCCAGTCTTACCGTTCACATGTGACAGCTCATAGGTGTGTGGGTATCCTTTAATCGTTTCATCTGCCACGAAGCAACGGTATATTCCGGCATCTGTCTTGCGAACTCCAGTGATAGTCAAAGAGAAATTGCCAGTTTTGAAGCAGTTCTTCTCCAGAGACACTCTTCCCTCATAGCCTTTGCCAGGCTTTATGGATCCGTCTTTCTTATATTGCAAAACTGTTTCTTTGTTATGCAGCCACGTCACATCTTTGGTATTGCCTGCATGACAGTCGAGGGTGATGTTTTCCATCTCTGCCGCATCCACATCTTTTGCATCTATAAGGGAATATTTTCAATCAGATGGACTCAAGTAACTTTTTTATAGGAATCAGATACAATTAATACTTACACAAAACATCCAGTAAAAATGGATTTTGATCCCCATCACAGACAAACACATATTTCCCAGAGTCAGTGACTTTGGCTGAGTTGAGAAGCAGGTGGTTTTCTTTCCTTCTGAATTCTTCTCGAAAATCTTCTCCAATCCAGAAGATCTGGTTTTGATATGTGGCGATAGTTGCTTCTGTGGGCGAACTCTTACTCCATTCAGCTCTCTCACAAATGCTGGCGTTACCAGGGAATGTATATGGTGTTTTTAGTAACACAAAATCAGACTGAATACCCTTGAATGCTTCTGAAACAAAGAATATAAAAGAGACAGTTTTAATGATCTGTGTGTGTGTGTGTGTGTGTGTGTGTGTGTGTGTGTGTGTGTGTGTGTGTGTGTGTGTGTGTGTGTGTGTGTGTGTGTGTGTGTGTGTGTGTGTGTGTGTGTGACGACTGATGCGTTCAAGTCCTCCTGGTAAGTCGTGTCTGTGTGTTCAAATCATTTCCGTCGGAGTAAGGTGGCGGTGTACTTTCTCTTAATAACTTAAACAAAAATACAAGGTTCTTAAACTCTAGTTCTAGTAAATGAAAAACAAAGAAATTTGCATCAGGTGTGCTTTGCTTTTTTATGTTTAAATTCAGAGCTTCCAACATGTATTTACGACATTGCGGTGGCGTTCATGTGTGTTCAACTCGTAAATAAGATCTTTATGCGACGACTCAAATGCACCAACATACCATTTAACTGGCAAACCAAACTCGGAAGTATGACAGCCAGCTGCAGCGCATTCATCATCGTGGCAATCCCCTGAAACAGGTTCTTCCACCCAGACTGTTGTGGCGTGTACCCAAGTGCAGTTTATCTTTTTAAATTAATGACATAAAACATTCAAAATAAACAACAATTATAGAGAAGGATCAGACGGCGTGAAAGGAAAGAACTAACACGAAAACAGGAAGGAACGTCTTCTTCTTCTTCTTCTTCTTTTTCCTTTTATTGGCAACTGCACCAGTGCATTACTGCCATCATCAGGTAGCTTGAAACAGAAACACTTCCTATATTTCTACCCCTCCCCCCCACCCCTTAAAAAATAAAAAAATAAACCCACTGGCGCTGCGTGAGGAAGGAACGTCAGTCAGAATACTTCAAAATAAAAAACATTCATTTCAAAACATAACATGAACTAAACTTAAACATGACATCACATAAGCAAGTATTGTTATATTTCAGCCATGCTGCTCAGCTTCAAAAACAATCAACATACTGTACAATGATTTATATCACACATATGATGATCACATTTGTGGGCTGATAATTAAGGTTAACCACATATTTATAAAATCCATCACTGATCCTACTAAATCTACTGTTTTTAACTAAAAAGATTACTTATTTGGTACCTGCATTTTTTTAGCATGATGATCTGAAGCTGATGAGGTTAAAACAACCGTGAGTGAATACCGAACACACACAGAAGCAACAAAAGTTTGTAGCGCTGAATGGATTATTTTTTCCGTCAGAATAAATGTATAACAAAATGCAAAGCTCTATTTTAATGCTATTTTTTGATGCACATCCATGTTAGTGGCTCCACACTTCTGTATTTCACTCTCTGACAGGAACTGAAGGGCAGATTGAACTTGGTAGCCTATTAAAATTCAGACGTTGAGCTTTCCTTTTAAAGATCGATCTTCTGATAGTAGTATCAATAATAAACGTTATCTTTATCCAGCAATCTTTATTGTCTTTATATCATTAAAGATAATGCCTATGTAAGAGTAGGGAATAACGTAGTGAAATTGAGAAACTCCAGCAGTTAGGCACACATCCAAAGAGAGGAAGGCCCTGTCCCATCAGAAAGCTATGGCAAGCCATTTAAACAATTATTGTTTGAAATTAACCAGACTCTATTGACGCAAATCACCCTGATGGATTCAAGCCTCATGATTACACATTTATTTATTCCAAATGATGACACACAATTCAATCCAAATGATGTAGTGCTTTCGTCTGCGAGTATAGTCCTGGCTGTAAAAACACACACAGGCAAAGAAGTCCTCGAGGGAACGATCCCCCTGTGAGTTGAGAAGGATCTAAACTGCTGCTAGAAACACTTTCTAAGGTCCGATCTTCTGTCAGCAGTGGTTGAGTCAAGGATGAAAAGAGGCTGGATTTAAACACAGCAGTTAATTATAATAAACACTTAAATCAATATAAACTCTCTAGAAATCAGAATACAAACACGCAGCAAAAGAACAACCATTAAACAATGGCGAAAACGGACAAAGAACTCTTCAAACTCAGGGCTTAGGATAATCAAAGGGAGGACAACAAGAATCAGGTGTGGCAGATAAATCCAACAATAAATAACCATAGAAACTAATGCAAATGTCAGATTTAAAGGGGTCATATAATGCCATTTTTGTACAAGCTAGTATGATTCTTTAGGGTCTAAATTAAAAGTTTGTAATATACTTTAATTACAAATTCTCATTAGTATTGTAAGAAAACACTTATTTTACTTGGTCAAAAACAGCTCTGTTTTCAGCACGCCGTTTCAGTGCATATGACTTTAAATGATAATGAGCTTTGCTCACCCCGCCTCTCTGTTCTGTGCGTACACCGTTTGTAACACAATAACACAATAACCATAACGCGTTGTTCAGTATAAACGTGGGATTATGAATTATATTGAGAACATCATACATAGAAAACATGCCGTAATGTACCCTAAGTGTAAACCTTAGACGCATTCATTGTGAAGCGTGCAGCTAGCGATTTGCAAAGATTAATATAAATATTAATATAAAGTTTAACAAAACGTTACACTCAATTCAGTTGTTCTAGAGGTTCAGCAGGAACACGAATATCTGGTACCGATCCTTTTTTCATGAGCAGCTTCTTAGCAAATCCAGCTTTATACTGACCCTCCTTTATAAAGCAGTCCACTGAGAAATGATTCGCGCAAACATGAAAGCATTGACGGCGCTCGTGGGGAATATTCCCTTCGAAAACAAACTCAGCCACTGCGTCTTCAGCGGTTCGGATTTAGGAACATTAAAATGACTGTGTTCGTTATTACACCCAAGAACAGAACACCACAATCGCTTAGACGCCATTCTGCTCATAGACAGTGCTCCAGCATATCAACAATGACCGCGCCGGTCCGCGCCGCGCAGACTATGATTGACAGCTCGCTCACGAGCGAGGGCGGGTCTGTGTTGAAACGCTGCTGTCAATCAACAATCGTGGGAGGGGCTTCCGAGCGTGTGACGTCACAAAATCGAACGGCTCGATTTGAGGCAGGGGAAAACATATAAGGAGATTAAAACAAAAACACTGGATGGATTTTTATCATTTTATGATGGTTGTGTACAGGCACTGCCAACACACATTTCAGTACAATCAACTTGTAAAAGTGCATGTACCATTATATTACCCCTTTAACAAGTGTGAACGGCAACAATAAAAAAAATCCCATGAAATACAAATCCATTTAGAGCTACATTAATATGTGGTTTGAAATTCTATTCAAATCGAATTTCTGGAAATACGTTTCAGTCTGTTTCAGCGCTACGATCGGATTTCGCGTGGTTTATGTGACTTTCTCACGCCACGTTACACATAAACGTCAGACGTTCTTATAGGAAACATTGAATGTCGCTACAGAAACAAGGTTGTGTTGCAAAGTGCAAGACGAGTAGAAAATGACAATATAAATGAGACAAGCCTCGTCCGGTTCTGCCGCTGCTTCAGAAGACGCTGTAGTCCAGCGCAGAGGCTACACCTTTATTCATGTTGTAAATAAGACAACATCTCTATTGCAAACCCCTCCATGCGACATTCAGTGTAGCTCTAAATGGTATGCACATATTCTTCTGGCACGGGACACACAAAACCAGATCTGAACAGTTGCGATACACTGTGTTGACAGTCAATCATTTGAGATCAGATTCCAATCGGATACACAAATAATCGGATTTGGACTGACAGTGTGAACGTAAGTTAAGAGTCCAACTCAAACTAAACTTAAAAACTCAGAAATGACAGTAATTAGACTACAGTTACTTTTTATTGATTATATGATTACATGTTATTTTCACAATGGCAGTAAATTATTCATAGATAAATTGCCATTCTAGAAAGCATTTATGAGTTATCAATATTCCAGTAGATGCAGTATTTTTCAGTTTTGTGCGATGGAAAGTTTCCATGGCTGTTCTTCGTGGAACTTTATTTTGAAAAGTGTAGAGCAGATGTTCATGTTGCATGTGTAATTACAGGCCTGTGAGTGAGAATGTTTGCTAAATTTGGAATAAAATCGACTATATTGAATATCACCAACAATCTAAAAGGATGTTTCATCAGTGAAAAAGATCTGTTAAACTGCCCCTATCAATGCTTTTAAAATGTAAATGCAGCAAAACACAACACACCCACACACACACAGAGTTCATATTATAGTCGGCTCATCCCGCCCTCTGCTGGAGGCTGACGGGACTGTGGCTTTCTTGACTAAACTGATACACTTCACAAAAACCTGGAGTTTAATAAAGTCAGGTCCATGATGTTGAATAACTGATCATGAGCATTTCTCCCTCTCTCCCTCTTTTCAGAGGACCGGAAGCTGTTTGTGGGGATGTTGGGAAAGCAACAGTCTGATGAGGACGTGAAGAAGATGTTTGAACCGTTCGGCAGCATCGATGAGTGCACCGTGCTGAGAGGACCTGACGGCACCAGCAAAGGTCTGTTAACAAACACGTGCACATGCGTGGGAGACTGTGTGTTAACAAACACAAACTCAATCTGATGTTTATGTTGTTTTCACAGGTTGTGCGTTTGTGAAGTACCAGAGTCACACTGAGGCCCAGTCTGCCATTAACAGTCTGCACGGGAGCCGGACTCTGCCTGTGAGTGTCTCTCCTCTCATTCCCTGCGTCTCCTTGTCCACACTATCCATCCTAAACAGTATGTGAGATTTAAAAAAGTGTGTCCCAAAGCATAGTATGTTGAAAAGAGTATGCCAGAAGTCCTTCTGCCAGTTCAGAACTACAAACACGAGTAAAAAGTGTTCAGAAAACTACAAAACATGGCGGATGTGCGTGACCGATGGTTACGTAGAGAGGTTTAGATAAAGGGGTTTGAGTGACTTATAATCAACATGTAAGGTGATGAAATATATTTATGTAATGTTATCCGTGTTATATTTCATCTGCAACAACAACATGAACGCATTGTTATGCATTAATATGAGGAGAGTCTTTGCATGAAAGACCCGTGACTGGCAGGTCAATGTGATACTGCATTTCTATCCGATACAGTAGCTAATTAAATGACATTAAACGTGGAGGTTTTATCTTTGACTTGATGATTGACAGGTCAGTTTACATGACAGGATGCGTGTAACTAAGCGACAGAGAGCAACCGTTAAAGACGCTATTTTATGACGTGATAGCATGTCCCAAAGCTTGTCTACTCTTCTGCTACACACTCAAAAGTATGTACTTTTTCTTCACAAAAAGAGTAAATACTTGTAGGGCATAGTAGCCTGGCTAACGTCAGACCCAAGTCTCATTGAGACTTGGGTCTGGGAACCACATGTTCATTTTCTCGTATTTGAGGCGTGGTTTACGAACGCCCAGAGCTGTTTATTGGGTGCTAAGAATGTCTATCAAATGTGCCTGTACGTAGCTCATAGCCAATCGTTTCAATTATACCAGATGACGTATGCAGAGCGACAGAAATTAGACGAGGAAGAAGACGATGGGTCAGAGATTTATGTGTACACGATGGCGTGTATCTAACGGCCGTTTCACATCGCATGCGTGAGCGGCGCGTATTTTTTTCGCCGTGCATGTTAATCAATGAGTGCATTCACACCTGGAGCAGGAGCGGCGCGTAAGCGTCGAGCAGGAGCGCTCAATTAAAGTGAAAGCACACTTTTGATGGACAAAAATAAATATGATCACACAAAAAGTGCCCAAAATGCACAGAATAAGCATGTCTAGTGAGTTTTAACAAGAACTTGAGTAGGCAAATCAAAAAAAAAAAAAAAGACTCAAAAATATTTATAGAAGATTTAGGCTACCCGGTAAAAACTTGTTTTTAATTATTCAGTTTGGGTGAAAGTTGTGTATTATATAAAAAAAACTAAAGTGAACTAGCCAGAAAATATTCTATATAAACGTTCTTTTAGTTTATGTAACACAGAGACAGCTGCATAGGCTAGCACAACCCAAATCAAACCCGAGTGTGTGGTTTATTTGTGTGTTTTGTTTTTTATCCGCGGAGTTTGCAGTCTTGTAAACATATCGAAAGTATGACTGAAACTAATAGATTGGAGCCATTTTCTGGGTTGTTTAACATTTATATGCGAATGTTGTACACCTCCCCATTACAAACTTTCAAGACTATCAATGTTATAAGTGACCAACTTCTAAAAACAAATGTATAGTTGTCTTTGTAAAGAATTGCTCGCTTATATATGTAGCTTTGGAGCCGCTGCTGTGACACTGTACAAACGCTTCCAGTGTGAATACTCTCGCGCGTCTGCAGCTGCAGTGACGATGTAAGTTAGTTACGCTGACGCGCTGCTCAAGTGCCGCTCACGCTTGCGGTGTGAAACGGCCGTAAGGCTGCATCGAAAGGTAACTTCGCGTCTGCTGCCATGTTGGATCCATAGGTATAAACAAACTGCTTCGGTGGGTCGCACAGACGACGTCGTCATCGTCTTGCTGCTCCCTCCCCGTTCTGTGATTGGTTCCCTAGACGAGGCGAAAATTTGGTCCATGGTATCCAGACTACCTAGCAGCGTGAATAAAATCGCGCTGCGCAAAGGCAGCATGGGGAAACCCAGGCTAAGGGCATAGTAGAAGTAGGCGAATTGAGATGCAGCATGCGTCTCCTCCTGCTCTCCTGTCAGCGGTTAACTCTTTCTGTCTGTCTGTCTGTCTGTCTGTCTGTCTGTCTGCCTGTCTGTCTGTAGGGCGCCTCCTCCAGTCTGGTGGTGAAGTTTGCAGACACAGAGAAAGAGCGAGGTGTTCGGCGTATGCAGCAGGTCGCCTCACAGCTCGGCGTCTTCAGTCCAGTGACGCTCAACTTTAATGCTTATAATGCCTACACACAAGCAGTGAGTAAACACACACACACACACACACACACACACAGTATAGTGAATTTTTCTAGTCCATGTCTATGGTTAATAAATCTTTTCCTTCACTAGGTGTGCCAGTGACACATTTTAAAGTAGAAATTTGTCATGCAGTCTCTCCATGTAGCAAGATGAGCACATAAAAGCTGAATTCTTAATTATAATAATTATACTAGAATTAGCAAAATGATGTTAGTTTTAAATTGAGGTTTGCATTTATTCATTTATTCACAGAGTTATACTGTTATTTAGCAAAGACACATTAAATTGATCAAAAGTGACAGTAAAGTAATTTATAATGTTACAAAAGATTTATATTTGAAATAAATGCTTTTCATTTGAGCTTTCCATTCATCAAAGAATCCTGAAAGATAAAATGTATCACTGTTTTCAACATTGATTATAATCAGAAATGTTTCTTTAGCAGCAAATCAGCATATTAAAATGATTTCTGAAGGATCATGTGACACTGAAGACTGGAGTAATGATGCTGAAAATACAGCTTTGCATCACAGTAATGAATTACTTTTTAATATATATTCACATAGAAAACAGTTATTTTAAACCGTAGTAATCATTTCTAAAATTATTTATTATAGAAAGTCAAATATTTCTGTTCTTATTGTATATTTTTGATCATATAAGTGCAGCCGTGGTGAGCATATAACAGACGTATTTCAAAAACATTAAAAAATCTTACTAACCCAGATTTTTGAAAGGTATATACAGTATGCTTTTCCTTTATAACAATACTAATAATAATTTTACAATGAAATGGTTCCTGTTTATTTCCCTGTACAGTTTTGGACATTGTTATAAATTAATAATGAGTGTGTTTTAAAAAACTTGTTTTAGTCCATTGTGCCAAAAGTACTTTTAAACACCCGAATATTCAAGTGGTTTGTTTATTTTAGTCTTTGGAGTATTATCTTTACAAATATCAGTATTGTTTTCTTTTTCTTTTTTTATGATGAATCTTCATAGCTTAAGCCCTTTATCCAATATTTCACGTATGCTTTACTCAATCCCTGCACAATACTGTACTCCGTTATACTGTTGTTTGCATTTCCTTTCCATTACTAATGACAGTCATTATGGGTTTAGCTGGCAAGTGAACTGAAGACTCAGCCACATGTTGAGGTTGTTGAGGTTGTTGAGGTTGAGCCACTGACTCTCTCTTCTGTCTGTCGCAGCTGGTTCAGCAACAGGCTCTGGCGGCACAGTCCGCCTACTTGTCACCCGTTGCCACAGTTGCAGGGTTGCAGATGCAGCACATGGCAGCTCTCAATGCAAACGGCATCCTCACCCCACTCACACCCTCTTCTGGTAATTACCACCATTACCCTACTGGCAGCATTACAGTACACTCTGAAGAACATAAACAGTCGGCTTGTAACAACAAGTAGAAACCCCGGTAACGCTTCCTTTCACAGTACAGTACTTACGTGTACTTACCTAGAAAGCTAATATAAGGTAAGTACATGGGTTAGGGGTAGGTTCAGGGGTAGGTTCAGGGTTAGTACCTAGTTATTACCCAGTAATTGTAATTACTATAAAAAGTACATAGTATGTACATGGGTAACAGGACTGTAAAAGGAAGCGTTACCGAACCCTCATGAGCTTCCATAAAGAACCATGCTTCGAAAGTGCTATATAGGACCTTAATGGTGTTATAAATAACCTTTTTTTATTACAACAATATTTATTTTCATTAATATTAGTATATTAATATTATTAATATTATTTTTATATATTATTTATTAATATTGTTTTTTAGTCCTCTTATCTATCTGCCTGGTCTTATTATATCTTGTTGCCTCTATTTGGGTTTTACATTTAAAAAAAAAAAAAAAACAGCAAGTTGTGTCAATTAGGTACTTTTATTTTTTATTGACATGGCAGATTGTGAATGTGGCAAATATGACTGTGCTCTAACAACAGAGGTTAGCTGAATACATTTGACTCTGAACACGATATAGATGTAATGAAGACCAAGTTCCAGTGAAATATCTTCTCATTCCCACATGATGTCTTTACGTCCTTCATTATGTGTGTGTGTATTCTGAGTGGAAGTTTCTGGCATTCTGCAGATGTTGAGGTTATGATACGTGACACAATTGAGTTTAGTTACATTGTGTCTCTTCTATTTGATTATGTAAAACAATTATGTTCATGAAGGCCAAAATTAGCAAAAGTATGAGCCCTTTATGTTAAAAGGAAAAGGTGATATAAAGTTATGGGGTAGCTTTAATGTTTTTTGTGACTGAGTGTGTTTAGGCATAAAGTCATAAATAAAAAAAAAATCGAACAATATTGATCATAAATTCCATATCTCTGTTACTTACTTTGTGGAGAAGAGAAGATGAGTATCCTTAACTGAACAGAGATGCTCACACTTACATGTTCGTTAAACTAAAAGGAGAAAAAGACATGATTGTTAGGAAATGATTGTTACAATTTTTAAAGTTATAATTTATTGACATTTTAAGAAAGAAATGATTTACTGTTGAGAGTATGTTGACAGTCTGTGTGTAGTGGTATAGATGAGCTCCAGAAAATCAATAATGAGGAGGCTTTGACAGTGACAGATCTGAAAAACAAGAAGACATACAAACACACAAACACAAAGATGAACACACAGAACCATTTCTGCATATAAAGGGTTCTTCAGGACGATACGGTTCTAATAGAACTGTTACTACGTGTAAAGAACCATCTGTGATTGAGGAAATAGATCAGAATGCCATTATAATATAAAATGTTACTTTACAATATTAACAATTAAATAATGTATTATAGTTTAAATTGATATAAAATGCAATTAGCAGAGTGCTTTTTTACCCACTGTAAAATAACTCTATCAATTTTAATATGGCGTACTGCCGAACACTGACAAACATTTATGAAATATATAAACTAACACTCTATAAACTAAATGTCATTTATATTAAAACTTGTAGGTCATGTATTTAAATATATTTATAATTAGCCTATACATTTTTAATGATGATAAAATATAATAACCTTACATGAAATATCGAATAACACTACAGTTAAAATGATAAAGTAATTTACATGTGCTTTGATATGCTAGTCATCACATCAAAATAAGTGTACTTCTTGACAAAAGATTATTAAAACATAGTGATTTAAAATCTACTTTAATGCGTTAGGAAAAATAGTCATGAAAGTGTACTCTCTTTAAGTGAACTTAAGTGGACTTATGTTTCATTAATACTATATTATCTGCAAGAACAGTTTTTAAAATGATACTTTTAAGATTTGAAGTAGCTACACTCAGCACAATTAAGCGCACTTCTTTTTCACAAGGGTCTTTATGCAAAGAGCTCAGTGGCCAAATGGCACTCTTCATATTCACTTAGTCTTGTGGACCATTGTAAGTCCACAAGACAGCAAATGAATATGAAGAGTGCCACCGTAGGGTGTCCTGTTTGTCATTTTAGGTTTCAGAAGAGTGCCTACCGTAATTGCAATCGATATGTGCCCTTGATGCGCACTGAGGCGAGCTCTGCTGCAAACTTCTATCAGACTTAGGCTTAGGGTTTCATTTAGGACAGGGCCAGTGTTTAACGCTCTTGTCAGTCTAAACTCCTCGCTGCTCTGTGATTGGCTACAGGTGCAAACACTCCTCCCACTATTACGGCAACACCTTTGTCGGCTCTGCCTCCACCAATGGGAGTGAACGGCTATAGTCAAATCCCGGCAACCGCCAATGGACAGCCAGCATTGGAAATCTACACCAATGGTGTTCATCCATATCAAGGTGAGAATCCCTAATGCTTTGGGAAGGCTTGAATTAACAACAACTAGCCAGAATACCCTAGCAACTGCATATCAACCACCCACAATCCTCTTACATGTTGGCGGTGAGTTTTGCATACACAGGAACCAGTCACATGTATTCATAAAATGCTAAATGCTTTGTCCTCATGGTCTCTCCAGCCCAGAGTCCAGCTCTTCAGTTAGATCCGCTCCAGCAGGCGTACGCAGGCATGCAGCATTACACAGGTGACTGAGCAGCTGCATCTCTCATGCACAGGCTTTTGTGTCAGATCAGCCTTTGTCTTTCTGTATCAGCATGTGTCAAACTCTGTGTTTCACAGCAGCCTATCCGACTGCGTATGGATTGGTCAGCCAGCCGTTTCTACAGCAACCCACCATGGTTGCCCAGCAACAAACCCAGCAACAGAGAGAAGGTGATTCATTTCCTGTTAAAAAAAAAAAGCACATATTCACTGCATCCAAAATTGCATACTTTATAGTACATTGATTTGATTTAACCCTCATGTGGTGTTCAAAACCCTATAACACCTGTGGTGTTCCCGGTCAAAAATGACCGGCCCAAAAAAAAAAACGTATAAATCCCTCATTATACCATATTTTCACCCAATCTTGGATTCAATCTTTTTTTCAACTTGTTCTCTTTCACGATTAATCAGATGCAAACAGAAATTTAAAACCAGTCCTAATTGAAAGAGAACAAGTTGACAAAAAGATTGAATCCAAGATTGGGTGAAAATATGGTATAATGAGTGATTTATAATCTATTTTTATAGGCCGTTCATTTTTGACCGGGAACACCACAAGTGTGACTATGTGCCATATTTTTTACAAAACAAAAGTTTCAAAACAAAATTCCTGGTGAAACATTAGAGTAGACTAGTGTGATCAACAGTAGCCATTTTTTTCTTTTTCTTTTTTTTCATATTTCCAAATTTACTCATAAATTATTTGTTTTTTACTCAAAAAATGAGATGCCTACTCTCAGATAAATGAGGCCCACGATTAATCAGATGCAAACAGAAATATAAAACCAGTCCTAATTGAAAGAGAACAAGTTGACAAAAAGATTGAATCCAAGATTGGGTGAAAATATGGTATAATGAGTGACTTATAAGCTATTTTTTATAGGCCGGTCATTTTTGGAAAAAAAAAGAGAGAGATTTAGTTATACCGTTTGGGAACAAAGTCACTAAGTTTCAGTCCAAAGCGATAACATTAACTAGTATTTTCGGGAAAAAGAAAATCTTCTCCGGGTCAAATTGACCCGAACACCACATGAGGTTAAAAACATACTTCGCAGAATGATACAAAATACGTTCTATATAGTCTGAATGTGTGTAGTTTGAATGAAATTCGGGCGTGCGTACTACATCCGCCAGGTTGTCATTATTATGTGACTCACGGCGTCAGTTGCGTCGCTTCACCGCCATCCACAAATCCTCTCCCGTGGCCTTATGGGATAGTAAAGTGTCCATCGAATCTCCACGGAAATAGTAGGTCATCCGGGTGCTTTTCACTTACTGTTCTGACATACAATACATATGTGTTCTGACATACTACTGTTGCCGTACTGTTCCATGCATATTATGGGCCAGATTTACTGAACAGGGCAAATTAGTGTGAAAGAGCAATTTCAGAAAAGCGCTGGATCATTTCCTTAATGACCAACACAATCTACCAAGAGAATCGCAAATTAGCGTCTGGTTTAAGACAGGCTTTTTTTGAGCAGTAAATAATGGCACAAATACCAGTAAATTGACAAGTGCAAACCTTAGAAAATCACCATGCGTGATTCATTTAAATACTCTCCTCCCATAACGTTTGCGTCAGAAATGGAAACTCCTACAAATGCATGTGCAATAATGTCAGCTGCAAAAGTATCCCTGTCCAGCCTTTTCAGAGCTATTTTTTGACTGCGTGTCTTTAGTAAATCCTGACATTATTTTTTTAACACCAAAAGAGGGTTTGCGCTGGAGCAAGCTGTTCGTAAATCTGGCCCTATATAGCAGGAAAGTATTCGGTTTCAGACACAGTGTTTTTGTACGTCCTCAGAAGTTAGACTGTACCCTGTAAAGAAGTACACTTTACCATACTTTTAAGTACTTATTATGGAAATATACTTTAAAACAACATACTTGAGTGTGAACTGAATGTATTGTTTTCGGACACTGAAATGCCTGTTAATTGCAATTAAATAAAAAAGTATCAGTTTCAGTTTATATTTAATTTATTAATTAAAATTACCTGGACTTTTAGAGTGCTTGACCCACTTAAGTAATTAAGTACATATTTAAATGTAATTTCATAATTACTTGTATTAATTGAAATATGGTTATACTGACAAGCATTTATGGTAAACTAAAATATACTTGAATGCCTTTTCTACTGAAACTTGTATGCCTTGTATTTAAATATATTTGTTCTAATGAAGTTGTAATTTAGTACATTTATAATATATATTAACTTTAAATGTAATATCGAATAACACACTACAGTTAAAATTATAATCAAGTACTTTACATGTCCTTTCCTATGTTAGTCAACACATCAAAATAAGTGTACTTCTTTAAAGCACGACCAAACATAATGATTTAAAATTATTATTACAAAGTGCACATGTTAAAAGTGCACTTAAGTGGGTTAAGAAACATCTGGTGCGTTCCATTCGATAGGGTCCCTACGCAGTGTTCACTACACCCTGAACACGGTATATCAGTTGAAGTGAACTATGAATAAATGTGTTCTTAATCTATGGTCTTAATAATTGTCAGCGCTTTCTTTCCCACGTGCAGCTGCATAAACACTCCTGAGGTAAATGAAGTAAAATAAAAAAAATTACAGCGCCTCAGCTGCTTCTCAGCACTTTCAATTGGTTTACATATTCATACAATAGACTATGAAAATGTAACATTCATCACTGTAACCATTCATAAATACTCTAGTTTGTATAATAACAATATTTACGAATACTCAAATGTATATGTAAACTCCTCCATCGCAAAGCCGTTCAAAATCTCTCCCAACGGCTCTGCTCTATGGTTAGTTCAGACTGGTGACACAGACTGGTGATTTTTGCTCTCCACTTCGTATGAAGTGATGTATCGATGTTCCCTTATTCCCTACGCCGTTTGCAGTGCTCCCTTCGGATTGTGATCTCACTTAAGATGGTTCGCAGTCCACTTACGGTCGAATGGAACGCACCTATAGTCATGAAAGTGTCTCTCTTTAAGTGCACTTAAGTGGCCTTTTATTTAATTAGTATTATATTATCTGCAAGTGCAGTTAATATACTTTAAAGATTTGAAGTACACATTCAATACAATTAATTGCACTTCTTTTACTCAAGGGTATGGAGGCAAATCATTGTTTTTTTTTAAGATATATATATATATTTATAAATCATTGCATGTGAGCTGTTTCTCATTATGATTATATCTGTCTATAAAGCTTACATTGAGTCTAATGTGTGTGATGCAGGTCCTGAGGGGTGTAACATCTTCATTTACCATTTACCTCAAGAGTTCACTGACTCTGAAATGCTCCAGATGTTTCTACCATTCGGTAACGTCATTTCTGCAAAAGTTTTTGTCGATCGAGCCACCAATCAAAGCAAATGCTTCGGTAAGAATGAGAAAAACGTATGTGTTCGTAATACTAACCTTCAAACTCTGGTCCACAATAGACCTATTGTCGATTTGACTGAACTATCGGATGAGAACCAAACCTGAACTCAATTGAGATGAATAATGACACTATTGCCTTCGGTAGAGCTGCTTTACAGCGGAATAAGATTTGTGTGTTAATAATTGATGAATTTTGCAACATTGACAGTTATTGGTCACACTTTATTTTACAGTGTCCATGTTACAGTGTAATTATGCATTTAAAGGGTTAGTTCACCCAAAAATGAAAATGATGTCATTAATGACTCACCCTCATGTCGTTCCAAGCCCGTAAGACCTCCGTTCATCTTCAGAACACAGTTTAGGATATTTTAGATTTAGTCCGAGAGTTTTCTGTCCCTCCATTGAAAATGTATGTACGGTATACTGTCCTTGTCCAGAAAGGAAATAAAGACATCATCAAAGTAGTCCATGTGACATCAGTGGGTTAGTTAGAATGTTTTGAAGCATCGAAAATACATTTTGGTCCAAAAATAACAAAAACTACGACTTTATTCAGCATTGTATTGTCTTCCGGTTCTGTTGTGGATCCGCGTTCAGTGCCGCTGCTGACGTAAGACGCTGCTGACGTGTGTCTGGTGTGTGTGTGTGTGTCTGGTGCGTCCGAGCTTCGTCTACAGTCTGAGGGAGACGCACGCTGGAAACAAAACAATCTTCGCAAACATGTCTAAGGATTTCCACACAGAGGAAGACTTGCATTTTTTTGCCCAGCCATATTTATTTGAACCCGAATACACGGACGCACCAGACACACGTCAGCAGCGGCACTGAACGCGGATCCACAACAGAACCGGAAGACAATACAATGCTGAATAAAGTCGTAGTTTTTCTTATTTTTGGACCAAAATGTATTTTCGATGCTTCAAAACATTCTAACTAACCCACTGATGTCACATGGACTACTTTGATGATGTCTTTATTTCCTTTCTGGACAAGGACAGTATACCGTACATACATTTTCAATGGAGGGACAGAAAGCTCTCTGACTAAATCTAAAATATCTTAAACTGTGTTCTGAAGATGAACGGAGGTCTTACGGGCTTGGAACGACATGAGGGTGAGTCATTAATGACATCATTTTTGGGTGAACTAACCCTTTAAGTACAGAGAATTATTAATTAACTACATGTACTTTTAGGGTTAGGGTTTGGTTTATGGTTGGTTGCATGGTACAGTAATTATGCACAATTTATAGTAATTACAAGCTACATGTGACGTGTAAAAAGGACTCTGTAAAACAAAGTGTTACCTAGTTATTTTCCTGTTTATTAATGTGAAGCTGCTTTGAAACAATCTGTATTGTTTAAAGCACTATATTATTGATAAATGTGACTTGACTACCACATTCAAGCAGCTGCATGACAGTGCACTCTAACAACCAATCAGAGCACCTTAGCAACTGTATAGCAACACTCTTGCGAACACCCACGGCACTCTTGCATCACAATGGTGAGTTTTACATGGACACTGAACATTTTTCTTTGTCTTTGCTCTCTCTCTCTCTTAGGCTTTGTGAGCTTTGATAACCCAGCGAGTGCTCAGACGGCCATCCAGGCCATGAACGGATTTCAGATCGGCATGAAAAGACTCAAAGTGCAGCTGAAACGGCCAAAAGATGCCAACAGACCCTACTGAGACTGAGACTGGTAAGAGAGGACAGACTTTCTGAAACCTTTAGAAAGAGAGAGATCTACTGTTTATTAAAAGTGAATGCAAAAGGAGGATAGAATTAAACAACTGAGAAGATGAAATGAAGGAGAAACAAAAAAGTAGCATAAAGGGAGACGAGGAGTGGATACGAGGTTTGAGTTCTGCAGGGGTTTGTCTGTATAAGGATGCTAAACACATACTTATAAAGGTGAATAAGAATAAAATGGTTAATTATCCCTTGTGAAAAAGAAGTAGATTTGAGCACACATTTAAAAAGACACTTTTTAGGGAAGTAATATACTTCACATTCAGTTTGCACTCAAAGGGTTAGTTCACCCAAAAATGACAATTCTGTCATAATTTACTCGCCCTCAAGTTGTTCCACCCTTGTATATATTTATTTGTTCTTTCTGTGTAACACAAAGGATGATATTTTGAAGAATGTTAGTAACCAAACAGTTTTGGGGCACCATTGACTCCCATAGTATTTTTTTATTTTTTTCCATACAATGGGAGTCAATGTTGTCAATGTCTAATTTGATAACATTAGTTAATGCATTAACTAACATGAACTAACAATGAGCAATACATTTATTACAGTATTTATTAATCGTTGTTAATGTTTGTTAATAAAAATACAGTCATTCATAGTTTGTTCATGTTAGTTCACAGTGCATTGACGAATGTTAACAAATACAACTTTTGATTTTAATAATGCTTTAGTAAATGCTAATATTAATAAATGCTGTTCATGTTCATGTTTAATAAAGTAGTTAAGTAAGGGTTAATGCTCGACGAGGTGTCCATTGTCAGGTATTAATGGACGATGGCGAGGCGTGAACCGTCCGACGCGCAGCGGAGGTCCATTATTACCTGGCAATGGACACCTCGAAGGGCATTAACCCGCTTATACCATGGTCACTTGCCAAATAACACATTTTTAAAACATTAGTTTATATTTTACTTAGTTTCACAATCGAAATCTAAAGTTTTTACAAACAATAACTTGGTTTCCCTGGTTACACCTGACGGTTTATTTAGCAACCGGAGATATTTATAATCCGCTCAGCTCGGAGAGCCCTTCAGTTTAGCTAACTTACGAGCCAGAAAGTTAACGTATTTTTTTTCATGTAAGTTAGGCTTGTCTAGCCATGGGCGTTACACTTTCGTTTTTGTTTTTAACCTATAATTAAGAAACACAGATAGGCATAGGATAACGGCTAACTAGATGTTTGTTTTGAGACAATAAATTGTAAACAGATACAGTACTTTGACTGCCTGTTGCTATGGTTACTCACAGCTGATGTAGCCAGCACATTTATTTATTAATTTTGAACGGTAAACAGTCAGTTTCACCAGAAATCAGAATCGAGTATTCACCCAGACCATGGTATAACTAATGAAAACTTATTGTAAAGTGTCACCAAATATAACAATAACTTTAAATGTAATTTTGAATAAAACACTAGTTAAAATATTTGACATGTTTTATTATGTTAGCCAATACATCAAAAGTGTAAATCACGACAAATTATCATTAAAACAAAATTATTTAAAATGTACTTTAAAGATGTAAAACTTTTAATTTGACTGTTAATTACAAAGTGCACTTTTTTAAAAGTGTACTTAAGTATATTAAGAAATATAGTCATAGTACATAGACTTTAAGTGCATTTATTTCATTAATATTAAATTATCTGCAAGTACAGTTTTTAAAAATATATACTTAAGATTTGAAGTAGCCTACACTACAAGTGCACATTCAGTCCAATTATGCACACGTCTTTTTCACAAGGGTTGTCTTGAGCCATAGATGAGGCTTTAAAAGCATAATTAAAGCATAAATGTATCTCAGATAATCAGTAATCTTGATAAATTAGAAAAAAAAAGTCATAACACCTAACTAAAGCTGTATATTTTTTTGTATAATTTGTCAAAATTGCAAATAGTAGGCTAAATTGTGCGCACGGTTTATAAATTGAGGGAACGAATTAGTAAATCGTGCACACAAAATATCGAAATATCTGCTTGTTTGATCATCACGACCAGCCTGAGTTTGGGGCCGACTATCTGTTTGGCTGAACAATGGTAGACATGGTATTCTCTCTTTGTATTCTCTCTATGAAAATCACAAACCACACAACAAGGTCCAAACGGCCAATCATAAATGACGGGAGACCCTGGCAATGGTTACCTAGCAACCATAATCCACTACCTCTGAAGTTGTAGTAAGTTGATTGGCCTGTCTGGTTGCCGTTGGCAATTGCCTATGTTTGGATTGCCCTAGCAGCATTGTTTGTTTTTGTGCCCTCCCCCCGGCGACTGGCCATGAGGTGGGCTGCATGCCGTTTTGCCGTGGCTACGATGGACTGTTTGATGCATTTGTGACTGATTTCTCTGATAAATTACTAATTTTTCAGTTTGTTTGGAAATTAGCTACACGCTTAGCAACCCTCACTCTTTCTGTGATGATTCCTGCAGTGAACGTTGTGACTAGAGTTTGTTATTGATCCATTTTTTAAAGTGTTCTATTGTGTGCTATATAAATAGTGACTTATAATTATTAGTGTGCTTTTCATTTGAGTGTGAGACATGAAGATGAACGATGTAAAATATTCAGAATGTATAATATCATATAACATAAGAGCATAACTGGTAAATTCAGCTGTGATTAAAGGGATAGTTCGGCCTAAAATGATAATTTTGTCCTCATTTACTCACCCTCATGTTGATCCAAACCTGTATGACTTTATTTCTTCTTTGGAACACAAAAGTAGATATTTGGAGGAATGTTCATGCTGCTCTTTCTCATAAAATAACATTCACCTTTATTTCTGTAGTACTTTATACATTACAGATTTTTTAAAAAGCAGCTTCACAGTAATAAACAGGAATACAAAATTATGCATAAAATTCAGCTGTAAAGCAGCTCTACAGAAGACAGTCGTTATTCAGTCGGTTCAATGTTGGTTCAGTTAAGTTCAAAAACAGTGTAAAGTTCATTATTATCTTTATTCACCTCAAGTCGGTTCAATGTTGGTTCAGTTAAGTTCAAAAACAGTGTAAAGTTCATTATTATCTTTATTCAGCTCGAGTCGGTTCAATGTTGGTTCAGTTAAGTTCAAAAACAGTGTAAAGTTCATTATTATCTTTATTCATCTCGAGTCGGTTCAATGTTGGTTCAGTTAAGTTCAAAAACAGTGTAAAGTTCATTATTATCTTTATTCAGCTCGAGTCGGTTCAATGTTGATTCAGTTCAGTTCAATAACAGTGTAAAGTTCATTATTATCTTTATTCATCTCGAGTCGGTTCAATGTTGGTTCAGTTCAGTTCAATAACAGTGTAAAGTTCATTATTATCTTTATTCAGCTCGAGTCGGTTCAATATTGATTCAGTTCAGTTCAATAACAGTGTAAAGTTCTTTATTATCTTTATTCAGCTCGAGTCGGTTCAATATTGATTCACTTCAGTTCAATAACAGTGTAAAGTTCATTATTATCTTTATTCAGCTCGAGTCGGTTCAATGTTGGTTCAGTTCAGTTCAATAACAGTGTAAAGTTCATTATTATCTTTATTCACCTCGAGTTGGTTCAATGTTGATTCAGTTCAATAACAGTGTAAAGTTCATTATTATCTTTATTCACATCGAGTCGGTTCAATGTTGGTTCAGTTAAGTTCAATAACAGTGTAAAGTTCATTATTATCTTTATTCACCTCGAGTCGGTTCAAATGTTGATTCAGTTCAATAACAAGTGTAAAGTTCATTATTATCTTATTCACCTCGAGTCGGTTCAATATTGATTCAGTTCAGTTCAATAACAGTGTAAAGTTCATTATTATCTTTATTCACCTCGAGTCGGTTCAATGTTGATTCAGTTCAGTTCAATAACAGTGTAAAGTTCATTATTATCTTTATTCACCTCGAGTCGGTTCAAATGTTGATTCAGTTCAATAACAGTGTAAAGTTAATTATTATCTTATTCACCTCGAGTCGGTTCAATGTTGATTCAGTTCAATAACAGTGTAAAGTTAATTATTATCTTATTCACCTCGAGTCGGTTCAATGTTGGTTCAGTTCAGTTCAATAACAGTGTAAAGTTCATTATTATCTTTATTCACCTCGAGTCGGTTCAATGTTGGTTCAGGTCAGTTCAATAACAGTGTAAAGTTCATTATTATCTTTATTCACCTCGAGTTGGTTCAATGTTGATTCAGTTCAGTTCAATAACAGTGTAAAGTTCATTATTATCTTTATTCACCTCGAGTAGTTTAATCTTTGATTCAGTTCACTTCAATAACTTTGTAAAGTTCATTAGTATCTTTATTCAGCTTGATTAAATTCAGTTTAATAACAGTGCTGATGTAGCAAAATTAAACAAAGTGGAATCAGCTATAAAGCAGCTCTGTAGAAAACAGTTGTGTCATCATCGTTCAATGTGTCTTTTAAACCCCAATAAAGCAAGCCGAAGGCAACACATAAAACAAAAGTATACAGGGGCTTTCAAGCTCCGAAAGGGCCAAAAAGTACCATAAAAGTAAAACATTTGACTATATTTACATCTTCTGAAGCCAAAGTTAACATGTCATGAAAGAGCATACAGATTTAGAAAAACATGAGGATTAATAAAAGAATTTCTCCTTTTGGGTGAAGTATAATCTTCTTCATTGTGGGTCTTCCTGAGCTTCTGACAGTGAGGGTTACAGTAAGTGCAGTGCCTGGGGCTGAATGGAGGAAACACGAGCAATACAGGAATTCTGGGGAAGATGCAATAAATATCACAAATCAGTGAACCTCATTTTTATAGCCATTGTGTTTGTATTTCAAAAGAGGTGTTCAGTTCTTCAGCAAGTTCCCAGAATTCCTGTTTCCAGTTGCTGTGAGTTGATGCATGTTGGCTGCAATGAGAATCACTCATAAATCAATCTAATCGCACACACACATTCAAACACGTGCACATAAATGTGCATTATATAGATATGATCTCCAGACACACATGCAACAGGCTTGAGCTTCACTGTGACTTGCATGGACAGTGTGTGTGTGTGTGTGTGTGTGTGTTTGCGTGTGTGAAAGCACATTTGATATGCCATATCTGAGATGTTTGACGGCTGGTCTTCTGAGGTTGTGAATAGATTTCTTTAGGTTTTAGGTCAGGTTTGGCCCTTTCACCTCCTCAATGCTGAAGTGTGTAATTGTATCCCTCTTAAAATACTTTCTAATTTCTCAGATTAATATGGAGAGATATATTGAACACCATGTCTCTGTAAAACATTGATCTGATTGTTTGAGCATTGTGACTCAGCAACAATCTTTTTGATTCACTATAAGAACCATCGCAGGAGTGACTTGACTGGAAAGAGTGAGAGTACTTTGGTAGTTCATCTAACATGGCAGAGAAGCTGTGGGTGATGATTTGAGGATGATGTAATTCTCATGTATGATACCTGATGAAACAGCGATTCACCCTGAAAGCTGAATCACTGTCTGCTCCAAGGTGGTTTTTGCCTGTGATCCAGCAAGCAGACAGACAGCAATGTGGAAAATTTAACAAATATTAACATCAGTGTAATGTAATTAATCTCTCACTCTCTCTCTCTCTCTCTCTCTCTCTCTCTCTCTCTCTCTCTCTCTCTCTCTCTCTCTCTCTCTCTCTCTCTCTCTCTCTCTCTCTCTCTCTCTCTCTCTCTCTCTCTCTCTCTCTCTCTCTCTCTCTCTCTCTCTCTCTCTCTCATAGGATGGAGATCATTGAAGCATTCACGTAGCAGACAGGCGCCAGGTGTTGAGCTGCACAGGTTAAATTGCTAACGTGAGATGTTTGTTATCTTGCACACACAGACACACATGTGTGAATATGCAAAGGACAAATAAAAAAATCATGTACATAAATGACACACGCATTCAAACACACAAGCACACACAGTTACAGAAAGATGTCAATAGTATTAACACAAAAAAACACGCTACTTCCTATGGACCTTCTTAGCTCTACAAATAAAAAAGTATCATTTTTCATACAAAACAAAAAAAATATATATGTTAAAAAATAAAAGAGAGAAGACCAGCCGCAGTAAATGACCATAATCAGGTTTAAATAATTAAGCTTAAAATTATCTATTTAAAAAAGAAAATAAGAATAGTTTGCATTAAAGCAATGATGATAGTTACAGTATTATGATTATGATTATTATTGTTAGAAGAAAAAAAAAACATCGTAAGATTTCTACTTTTTCATTATAAATGGGACATAAGGGGACTTATGGGCAAGTTTTAATATTTTATCTTTTTATTTATCAATTTATTCATGTTTGGGGTGAGGTCTTTTGGTTTTCATGTTTTTTAAAGAAATACATTAAAACAATTGTACAACTTTGTAACTTATTGAAATGTGAATTACAATGATGTTATTTATGTCAACTTTTTTGATCAAACTTTTGTTTCTAATTTAAATAAAAAATAAAGGTATTCAAATAATGTTGTGTCACATTTGTATGTGTTATGGCCTGAGATCTGTGTGTAACAGTGAGAAAGTGTGTGTCGTACTGAGGGCGATATTTAGCTGCAGATACTGAGATGCTTATATTTGATGGCAATGAACTGTGTTAGACTCTTCAAAGTGGAGACGACACAAAGCTGCACCACTAGCAGGGGCGCCGTATAGGGGGGAAAAGTTAGGACAATTCCAAGGGCCCCTGACTGACAGGGGCCCCAACAAATAGGTAAAAACTAATAATAAAAAATATATATATTATACACTATACACCAATGTCTTTGATTTTACTTATTTTGGCAATAAAAGTTAAATATCCCCATAAACATTGACCAAAAAGTAAACATCCATATTGACCGACCACCCCTGTATCTGCATGAAATGGTTTGGTCCTGCCTAAGCTCGCGCACTCATCAGTGACGGTGTTTAATTGCAGACAGATCGCGTCGATGCGCCAGAAAAACAATGACCACAATGTTGCATTGTAAAATAAAATCTGGTTCTCAAAAAAGGAAAGAGAGAGAGGAAAGACAAAAGAAAGGGTGTCAATCTGTAACCCAGTTTTTCACCAAGAAAGGTGGGTAGCCTTTGAGTGGTATTAACCTGTTGTCCATAGTGAAATAAACTAGCTAGCTGCAGGCTACTGTTAGCCTACATTTATTTCATCAACATTTAATCAGTGCAGGGAAACGTTTAGCAAGATATTCATATTAAATCATTGTCCATGCCCCTTTTAGCAGACTCAACAACAGATGAGTCAGTAGCACCCAGGTCTCCCCATAACTGCACCCTCCCTGTCCCTGTCCAGGTGAAGAAGGTGAGCAGCATTGTGTTAATGACTTGGCATCATTCCAGGGAGTGTGTGTGGGGTTCTCTGTCTCTCTTGCTCTTTTTACCATAACAAAAAAGAAAATGAAATATTTATTAATGACAGAAATCAAACACAAATTATTTTCTCACATAATGACCATTATGATAGACATAAATAAAAAACAACACAAAAACAACCTCCTGTCTGTACTGGATGCAGTTAGAAACAATGAGTAGCTTACCTCAACCTGCATGTAAGTTACAGACAGTATTAAAATAATCCAGTTTGATGCGTTCATTTAGACTGAATTTTGATGATGATGATGTTAATTTATTTTGATTAAAAAGTTAATATATATATATATATATATATATATATATATATATTTTTTTTATCTGTCATTAATTTTGCAATAAAAATACATTGAGACTGTAAAGGATTGCCTTAAGGACATTTTTATGGTGGCTTTTAATCTTGCATCTGTATGCGCATACTGTATGCAGACTTGCATTTACAAATCACCAGCAGTAAATAGTGCTAGCACTAGTATTGTACTACAAGAAACAAGACAGTTGCAAGCCTTTGATTAGAGTTATGTAAAGCTTTTGATGGGATAGTTAGGTCCTAGAGATGTGGTGACAACAGCTACGCAGAGGGGGCCCAATGTGATTTTTTTGTCATGGGGCCCAAAATTCCTGGCGGCGCCCCTGACCACTAGAGGGATCCACTGTCATCACCTGACAGTCTGACACACGTTCGCAACGCAGCACAATATGACTACAAACGCATTGCATGTAATCACAGACTAACACACACATTTACTCTCTTAATCCAAAGCATGGTAGGAACCAAAATCCACTGCCTAGTATCAGTTAATGCAGCAAACATTATTCAAGCAGTCCCAACACAAATGGATTAAGTACTAGTGGACTGAATACAATAAAATGAAGTAGTGACAAAATATTTGCTGGAACCTGATCTGATTTTCCTGGATTATTTAAATATCTGTGTAGTCTATTTGCAACATGTACATGCAAACTGCACCTTCCGCTACTGCACACTCAAATCAGATTATTACCAAACTCAAGCCAGTTCTGCAGTTATATTTATATTAAAATCAATATTTATACTAAGACTATGTCTTATACATAAATCTTCTTTTTGGTGTGTTCACACTTGGCAGGTTTGGTTTGAATACGACAAATTCTGGTGCAATTGATCTGTTAGTGCGGTTCATTGGAATAAGTGTGAACGCTGCCATCCAAACCCATCAAACAAGTGGACCGAGACTTACCTTTTCAGAGGCTTTCGGTCCACTGCCAAATGAGCTCTGGTGCGGTTCGACTGAAATATGAACGCACCAGGACCAAAAACATCTAAACAAACCAAAAACAGGAAGTGATTTTTGTTAGTCATTTTTGCTTAAGCATAGTTGTCACTGTAGTTGGAGAAACCATAACGTGTAAACCAGGATCAAACGTGATCTAACATCATTTGTGACGGTGTCCAGGGCCCCGTAGATGTCCTGTGCCCCTGGGCAAGTGACCAGTTGCCCTAATGGTTAATCCGGCCCTGAACTGGATCACGTGTGCCTCGTGAACCAATCACATTATAGCCTTGACGTCACTGAATCGCTTTGTATGAGGCAATTACTGTTTGCAGATACCATATAAACAAATGATTAGTCCCATAAACAGAATTCTATCTTTTGCTAAATGTTTCTTTTAAAATAAAACAGTATTTTATTTTTATGTAAACTCTGCAAACATAACACACTGAATATTTATTAGCAAACGTGTTGAAGATTCACAGGATGTCAATTCATGAAGTGCTAAGCTGTTTCCTCACAAATATCCAGTGGTTATTAAGCCTCACTGACATCAACTCTTATCTCCTCACTGGTGTTTTGCAGCGTTGCACTTTTTTTTGCTTCCTCGGAGGCTCCCCCTTGAAATCGCACAAAAAAAAAAATCCAGGTTTGTTCATCGACCAACATTTGCGAGGCGGGCCAATGAGAAAACCTGTATAGGCAGCTCTTCCTAATCTCAACCAGAGCCAACCAGTGAGTTTGAGACGGGGTTAAACCGTCTGTGCAACCACTTCAGTGCATCCCAATGTGTGTACTCATGCACTATTCTAATGCATTTGTATAAACAGTTCTAGTAGTTTGTTACAAAAAAGTGCACTTCAAATACATGGATGATGCACTTATTTAACCGAAAAAATGAAGTGTGGAATGTCAGACACTCAACTTTTGCAGCTTTACTTACTTAGCCAAAAGGGAAGCTGCATCCGAAATCGCATCCTTCCCTACTATAGTAGGCGAAAAAATATGTATGTCCGAATTCACAGTACTCATAGGCAGAAAATATACCTGGATGACTAACTTCTTCTGGTGAGATTCTGAAGTGTGCATACGATGGACTTTACTATCCCATGAGGCCACGGGAGAGGATTTATGAGTAGCAGTGAAGCGACGCAACTGGTTGGTCACATGATAATGACAACAAATGGTACGTCCGGATTACATTCATACTACACACACACACACACACACACACACACACACATACTACAGTAGTCAACATTTGAAGTGGATTAAAACCTTTCATCAAAGTTGCATGAATTTTACCCATACCCATTCTTGTCTTGACAACTTTAATGAACTTTTTTGATCCACTTCAAATGTTGACTACTGTATATAGAACACACTTTTTAGCGGTCTTGAAGTATTTACTTATTAAAAATAAGTAGGGAGACCAGGGACAGTTGTAACACTTTTTGCAATTTTTAGCAATACATCAAAAACCATTTATACTGGAATAACCAATTTGTTATATTATAAACTTCAATCGGTCAACTGCTGAAACAATGTATTTAAGTGGTTTTATGAAATATGTACAGGTTGCAAAATTAATTTTAATACAGTCTCTCCACTGTTACAACCGTCCCAGTGTACAGGGACGGTTGTAACACATGTCAGGGACGGTTGAAACATTTCTAAAATATAGGTTACATAATGAATTAATCATATAGCCTACTCAAAATGGACAATATTATTTATCAGTCATCCCAGCGGGCACCTTGACGTCAATTTAACATCAATATGACATCAAACATTGATGTCAAAATAACATCACGAAATAGGTCAAAAATTAAAGTCATATTGACGTCAAAGTGTCGGTCAATTTAATGTCAAGATTTTGACCTCTGATGATTATGTCAAAACATAATCAACACCATCAGATCACCTTTACTCTTTGTTCATCTGGCTGTTCACCACTCAGTTTCAGCAGCCAAACAAAATCTAAAGTTAAAAACATTAGGGTCAAGAGCCCAACTAAAGCAAACATTGATCACCAAAATGGTGACTTAAAATTGTGATTTTCTCCTTCAGTGATTCTGCTTGTTAACATCAGGTGTTCATCAATAATGACCAATCATCACTCAATTAATCACTTAATTATCTCATTAACTTTAACACTACTTCAGACACTGTTTGAAAAACAGTCAATGTTTGATGTCATGTTTATGTTGAATTGATATCGAAGCTTGATATTGAATGATATCAAAATAGCATTACAATGACATCAACATCATGACATCCTGACGTCAAATAGATGTAGAATTGACATCAAATGCCAACAAAGCATGACATCAAAATAACATCAAAATGATATCTGCAGAGGTCAAAATCTTGACATCAAATTGACATTGACACTTTGCCGTCAATATGACTTTCATTTTTGACCTATTTCGTAACGTCATTTTGACCAATGTTTGTTGTCATATTTATGTTAAATTGACATCAAATGCGCACTGGGATGTTATTGTGACTATTCGTTTCATATTTCTAAGTAGCCTAATGATCCAGCACAGGAAATGGGACTCCCCTGTCTGTCTTCCTCTTTCTTATATTTGGCATGCTGTAAGCAATCACGTTTCCACTGACTATTTTTATATTTTAAAAAAAGATAATTACCTTAAAATGTGATTTGATGACATTTTACATTTAATTCGCAATGCACAGTGCATATTTTACATTTAATTTGCACATTAAATGGAAACTATGCAGTTTTTTATAGCTTAATTAGTTTTTAAAATATAAATGAAACTCGGTTGGTGATGTAACGGGGCGTTACAACCGTCCCAGAATCACCAACCATGTTTTCATCTCATGTGAGCTAGCTTGACTGCTAGTTTGACACTTGTTAGCCATTTCTATTTTTAGCTTACAAAACAGTGATTCTAATAATACTTGTTTGAATTCATAAACATTTTATCTTATAACAGCATCCAAAAAAGTACATAAGAAAGAAAAGTAATTTTTTACCTAAAAAACAACCTTTTGTCGATAACTCTGTCAGGAAGTTTCTAATGTGGCTCACTTTTTGGCAAAAATGGAGGGAAACTAATTGAGCATGAGCACAGTGAGTGTCATCCCCATAGATATGGTCATCCCTCTAGGTTGTTTCTGATTAGAGGAATTTAAGGTGTTACAACCGTCCCCTGTTACAACTGTCCCTGGTCTCCCTGCAATTTCGGACACAGCCCATGTCAGACTACGGTGTTGGATGAAAACATTACCTTTTTAAACCTCATACTCTATAGATAGCCTAGTTGAGTTGCCTTCAGTGCATAGGTGTATACTGCATTTGTCATTTGGGACACAAAAACAATAATTTAGTTTAGTAAATTATTGTATGCTATCAGTTCATTGTTTAACTCAGATCATGGTCATAAAGTGTGGGGAACATTGATAATACATTTTAAGTACAGAAGATGTTTTTATAAAGTAGGCCATGTCATTTCTACCATCAAAGTTATTCCAGTAACGTTCCTTTGAAGTTATCTGGTCTTTAATAATGTTCTTAAAAAGTTAGTAGGCCTACAAAAACTGTATCTATTGTTAATAGAACTTTTTTCTGAAATGTTTTAAATATTGAAACATTTTTTTTTAATTGTTACAATTTTTTTCTCGAATGTTCAGAGAACATAGCTTTTCGAATCCGGAAGAGTGTGATGAGTCTCTCTCTCTCTCTCTCTCTCTCTCTCTCTCTCTCTCTCTCTCTCTCTCTCTCTCTCTCTCTCTCTCTCTCTCTCTCTCTCGTCATGATTTTTAAGTCCCGCCCGTTCCGTTATTCGTCTCTCTCTGTACCGACGCCTGTCCCACTCCCGTGCGCTCGCGCTCATCAAGCGGAAGAAACTCTCTGAAACGGCTTTGAAACCCCACAATCAGGAAATACCATTCAAACTCGCCACAGCTGGTGCTTTGTTGAGCACTTTCTCCGTTAAACCGATTCTTACCAAGTTGAAAACTTTTTTGTCTTGAGAGAAGAGATGCGGGTGGTAAACAGTCTGGCCGAACCGCAAACCCACTAACGGTGCCGAAAAACCAGCACAGAGAAAACAGCGTCTGGAGCGACAAACATCATCACGATCCGCTGTGTCTGTTGACCGACTGAGGTGAGTCTCTCGCCTGTTGTTATTACAGTGTGTAACATTTATTACAGCAATTACTTTGTGTGTGTGTGTGTGTGACGTGTGTGTACTATATGGGGACCAAATGTCCCCTTGTGGGCAATTTCTTTTGGTCTCCGTGAGGAAAACAGCTTATAAAGCATATGAAATAAAGTAACGTTAGGTTATTCTGAAAATGTAAAAATGCAGAAAGTTTTCTGTGAGATGGGTAGCAGTGTTATGGGATAGAAAGTTTGTACAGTAACTTAGGCTATAAAAACCATTACGTCTGGAGAGTCTACATAAAGATATAAAAAAAGTTGTGTGTGTGTACTTAACCATATTTGGGGGATACATTTGTATCCAGAAGTGAGCTAAACCTACCTGACAAGACGTTTTGCTACGTCCTTAAATACTAGCTGTAGGCTATGTAACGTTAAGGGATAATGTATTGTAGAGCGAGGCGGTTGTTATAACGAATATACAACCCCGACAGGCTGATCAGGACCCCGACGCCAAGCGGAGGTTGAAGGGGTTGTATTCGCTATAATAACCGCCTCAGTCTACATTATCCCGCTTATTACATGGCTACCTACCAAATAAATCAATAATTTGACACAAAATATTGATTTAAAAAGGAGTTTATTGATTTAAAGTAGTTTATCAGCCAGAGTGAACAGAACTGTGTCCATGGCAACGCTCTGTTTTTCATGGCAACGGACTATCCCAGGCCAAGTCCTTTAAGCAGCGGTCTGTTATCAAAAAATAACGGACCGCATTCTACATTTGAATTCAACCAAGCCATGTAATAAATAAAAACAATACAAGTCCATGGAATGTCCCCATTTAGAAAGCTATTTAATTATAAGTAGGCTAAATGTGACCTAGATGTGAATTAAGGATTTTAATTTTTGCCTTGTGTAAGGTTTCTTGCCAAAAACATCAGCCAAAACATCAGTTCATACCTATCCATATGAACAGGAACACATGTAATTGTGGTAAAAGAAGTCAGTGAAAAGTGTAAAAATAAAATAAAAATAAAAATAAGTTTAATTTCTAAAATTACTTTTAAAAAAGTAATCTGACCCAAATCCCCCATGTTGCGTGGCCCCATTACCAATAATTTGACAAACACACATTTAACCTGCACAAACCTTTGATGGAATCATGAATATGATGAATTAATGCAAAAAAATAAGTACCAAAAACAAAATGTTTTACTATTATGTTTCTATTTTCAGAGTTAGGTTATTTTATTTTAGAAAAATCCAGCTAGTTCTTGAACATTTTTGTGGTTGATTAGGGGTTGCACAATTGAAAAGGTTGGGAAACACCAATTTAGAGCAGAGCATACGCAATGGTTCTCGTAAAAGGTTAATCATTTTCTTCATTAGCTAATAAGCCTTTGAGCACTGTCCCAATCACCCAAAATCATGCTGTCCCATCTGTGTTTGGGTTGGTGGGACAAAATAAAAACAACCTAATTCTGAAAATAGAAACATGAAATTAATAATAATAATAATAATACATTTATTTATAGAGCGCTTTCCATCAAAGTGCTTTACAACAGGAATAAAGATTAAATTGCACACAATACAGTAAAAATTAAAAAATAAATTAACACTTTTTTTTACTGATTTTGTTGCAGTAGTGCATCATATTCATGTTTCCATCAAAGGTTTGTGTAAAATAGTAGCTATGACAATGTTATGACTTATTATGAAAACTGGCAAAAGCTTAGACCTATGTCATTTTCCTCACTTCATGCATTTCAGGGTCAACTTCCTGTTTGATGCATGCCCCGCTCACCTACATGATGTCATACCAATGAGGGCAACCAATTTTGATCATGTGATCTCACAGCTAGGACTCGGCAACTTTGATCCACCAAAACGACTAAAAATTAGGGCTGTCAAATGATTAATCACGATTAATCACATCCAAAATAAAAGTTTTTTTTACATAATATATGTGGGTGCACTGTGTATAATTATTTTGTATATATATAAATACACACACATGCATGTATATTTAAGAAAAAAATATTATTTATATATAAAATATTTATATTTATATATAATATAAATTATATATAAATCTATATACAGTATATACATGAAAATATTTCTTAAATATATACAAGCATGTGTGTGTATTTATATATATAAAATAATTATACACAGTGCACCCACATATATTATGTAAAAAAAACTTTTATTTTGGATGTGATTAATCACGATTAATCATTTGACAGCCCTACTAAAAATATATCTTTTTTTTTATCTAAGTAGCCTACATAGTAGGTAATGATAGTGCTCGCATTCTCCGTGTTCATTAGTTTACGATCTGTCTAACAGTCCTGTCTAACACGTTATTAGATAGAACTGTTATACATAGAAGGACAGTATATGAAAAGGTATTAGCGTATGCCGTGTGGTTGATGTCCAGTGTTGCTATCTGAGCAGAAATACATAATCATGTTTCTCTTGGTCCCGTCAAAGTTGCGTTGGATTTTCTCCTCAAGGTCAAGAGGTCCATCTATCACTGTTTCCCATGTTCGTAGAGTTAGTTTCTGGAGTCAATATAGGCTATAATCTGTGCGTTTACACAGCCTTTTTAAAAATGGCGGATGCTGGTGTTTCGCGTGCGTTTGGCCAATCAGCGTCACTAACATGTAGTTCCTATAGCGCTGGTTTAGACCCGACTCTGAAGTAGGAGCTACATTAGTTCCTCCAAACGGAGTTCCTAGAACTAAAATAGTTCCTAGTTCCTGCAGTGCGAATGCGAATGCGCTAAAAAACGGGTACTTCCGCCAATAGTTCTAGCCTAGGAACTATGAAAAGGTTCCTCTGGTGCGAAAGCCCGTTAGGTGTACCTTACAGTTAAAATGTAATAAAATATGTATTTTTAATTTAAATAATGAGTTGTTTTTAAGGGTAGAGTTTATAATAGTAATTTAAAAGTTGGTATTAAACAGAAGTGATTGTCTTTTCCCTATTGTGACGAATATCAGAGTAAAACGGCTTCTGGAACCAGAACAAAATGCAGGGCCGAACTTGATTTTGTCTGTGGGGAATCACTTGGATGGTTGTGGTTTGCTATAGGCTTTATGCCGAGCGTCACGTGACCAAGCCGGAAAACAGATCACATCGCTTCCGATTCAGGTCTTTTGTATATGTGCTTCATGAAATTTTTTGCGGTTTTACTCAAGATAACTTAAAAGGAGCAAGCAAAAAGTGAGCATAACCAATGGCCCTCGCATGTGCAGATTGATATTTAAAAGTTTTTTAATTTTTCTTCTTCACACTAACATATTTAAATAGCATAAAACACAAATAACAAAGTGAACTTAGTAGGTTAGCTGATTACCTTAAAAATCCATAGATATCGTAGTTAGTTCTTCTTACGGCCGTTAACACTTTCTCCGACAAGCGGATGCAATGAGACCCGTTTTCCGGTTTGGTCACGTGACGCTCGGCATAAAGCCTATTGGTGGATCTCATGTGAGTGACAGGTTGTCCCGCCCTCGTGCCAGTGAACACGTCGTTAGAGAAGAGGAGAGATGTGCTGCAAGAGGGAGAAGTTATTTTGATTAAGATTATGAGAGGACATGGATTTTTATAAACATTTATAATAAATACGGCAATATTCCATAAAAATATTAGAATTGTCTATTTTGATTTCATGGTGACTTTAATGGGAACCCCCATTTAGACAGCCAGATAGACATGTGCAAGTGTGTGTGTGTTTGTGTGTGTGTGCATTCATGTCCGCTGAGCTGGATTGTATGATGGACCACAGTTCAAGAGTCCATGTGTTTTTCTTTCGTCAGCTCTTTCTGTCCATCTGCTATGAAACATTTACCCAACATTCTCACCTCATGAGGCGGCAGCACACTGAGATTTCATCTTAAATTGGAACTTTTTCTAAATAAATAGACATCTGACTAATGATGTGACTAATAAACCATCAGCTAAAGGCCAGCACGACACGTCACATCTTTAAACAGTGACAAATGCAAAAAGAGGAGATCAGTTGTCACACTTTACCCCTGAGAATGATTCTCATGCTAGGTTCATTTTTAAAAAGTCAAACGTCCCTCAATAGCGGGGCATGTTGGCACATTGCATGGGGTATGTTGTCACAATGGGATCTTACCTTTAAACAGGCTATGTTTCCATCTAAATATGTAGTTTAAAAAAATTATGAAAGAGCAACAAAAGTTTTCATTAAGCCTCATCATTCACAAGCTCTCAATATGACAGACATTCGTGGTTTACACTTTACAATAAGGTTCCATTAGTTAACATGAGTAAACTACATTAGTTCATGAACTTTTCAACATTTACTAATACAGTATTCAAATCAAAAGTTGTATATTTTAATATTATTTAATGGACCTGAGCTGCATGAACTAACAATAAACAGTGATTTTATTAATAACGTTAACAAAGATATGATAAATACTGTAATGTATTTTTAGTTAATGCATTAACTAATGTTAATAATTTGGAGCTTATTGTAAAGTGTCACCAACGCTTGTCTAGGTGTTATTACTAATAACCTATCATTATGAAGATGCAGTGGGAAACTCAGTGCCAGAGCTGTTCAACTTCAGCTGTGAATTAAAACCCCTGCCATTATGTGGCTTGAATGTTTTCCATTTAAAAGCACAACGAGAGCTATAAAACATTTGCGAAGCACTAAAATGAATTCAAAGTCACATTGAAATGAGTTTGATTTTAATACCCAAATGAACCCAACAGCAATGCAAAATCACTCCCCAATGTTCCATCTTCATGTCAGAACATCTGCTGTTGGATGTTCAGATGTGTTTAACACACTTTTTCCTACATCCAGTGATGCTGTTTAAAACTTTCCATTCATCATCTATGGTTTGATGGTTTGCTGTATGAAGTTAAGGGTTGCTCCCTCCCATCAGGATCGTTTGGGCTGATCACTGACCACAGTATCAGTCGTGACTATTTAAAGCCTTCTATTTCGTG